TAAATTAAGCAAATTCGACTCCTCTAACTCTAATCATTTTAAGAATTTTTTTATTAGATTTTATTTTATCAGAACTATTTTTTCTTATTATTACATTTTGTTGATCTTATTAAATTTCGTTTGATATGAGTCGCCTAAATTTCTATAGTAAATATTTGCAAATATTCATATAAAAATTCAAACAATGTTTAATCAGTTAATATTTGTATTTAATTTTATTTTACTTCAATATATGGTTATTTAAAATTACTTTGAAGACTAAAAGCTTTCCTTCACTCTTCGAGATTATCTCGCAATAAAAGTGTAAAAAAGTTTTAAAAAAATTGAAAGAATTTTAAATTGAGAATATCTAATTAAATGCTAATGTATTTTACATCATAATTGAATTGCAAATAGTTCAGTAAGCTGAATCATGCGTTGTAAAGTGAATTAAAGTCAGTGGCTATTTGCCCAGAAGGACTATTAATTTCGTTTTGGCATTTTGCGTTGAAAACTTTAAAAGGTTGTATCACTTTTCAAATCGTTGCCACCATATATTATCGCCCTGTCTTATATTTAAAGAAATTAAATAATGAAGAATCTGCATAAAAGTAGGTATGTTTCTCGCATTGCGATAAAACAACAGTACCTAGAGCCATCAAAATTTGTATAACGTGATCTTCCATAGAGTATGGGCATGTGGAGGCCCTAATTTGAATTTGAAATTTCTTTTATTATCGATTTCAGATTTTGTAACACTTCAAATTTTTGATAAAAAAACTGAACAATTTCAAAGCGAGCAATGGAAACACAGTAAAAAAAAAGGGGGGTTGAATAGGAAACAAAGATTAAAATGTTTAAAACGAAAGTGAATTTTATTTTCATATCACAAGTGGTTGAGAGACTTGTGATATTTTAGAAAACTTCCAGTGATGTAATTTGTTTTCCCTATCAGTCTGTAAACTGAAGTTTTTCAAAATACAAATGGCTCCACATCCCTCCTATGCAGAGAAAGCGGAAAATTAAACGTTCAAAAAGAAACTGAGCCGGAAATTCTATCTGCAGTGTTTAGAGACAGTTTACAGTGTGGTAGTCGTGGGTGTAACAGTGCTACTGGTGAAATAGAACTAAATTTGGAACGGATCTAAAATTACTACTTTCCGGAATTACAACTAACTTCCCCCACTTATTTCTTGAGAAGCAGCGTCATTCATCTCATTAAATTTAGTTTTGATACAATTGTTTGCATCATAGCTATATCAGCTTTGGCTGTAGTAATTTTAGTCTTTGGCTGTATTTTTTGCTTAACTAGACAACATTCTGTTTTAGAATACAACCTTTAAAATGTCGGATTAGAGTTTTTCATCTTCAAGAAGAATTTGCCATTAAAAATTTCCACACAAAAAAAAAAAAATAAATAAATAAATAAAAAATAAATAAATAAATAGTATTTAAATTTCATTTCTTCACTTAAAGCAGTTTTGATAGTTTAAGAATGAGTCCCTGGAAAATTCAAGACTTGGGAGATAAATTTATTTATTTAAATCTAGGGGTTTAAAAGAGCAATGCAAAACTTCGTCTGGTATCGTAACGCATTGCATTTTATTATTTCATCACAAACTGATGTCGCATGGCCATATTTGCAATTATTTAATAAAGGAAAAAGTCATTCTTTTTTTAAATTTCCAAAGAAGAAAAGGGAAACATTTGCAATTAAGAATAAATAAAACAAGAAACGTCAAAAAAAAGGCGATATCTTATCAGGGTTTAAAAGATTTAGTACCTTACTACCTCTCAAACTTCACAAAACGCGAATGGGCCGTGGCCTTTGTTCATTTCAACATCTTTTCTGCAGAGCGGGTTGTAGATGCCTAGCTAGTGTCCTGATTGAGATAGTGGTTAGCGACACAAGCTTCTGTACCGATAGCCTCGGGTTCGAATACCAGCACGTGCGTGGATGCTTCTATGTGTATAGCATCTGTGCAGTATGGAGGTACTTAGAAGGTTGGAGAGACAAACGCCCTTGATGGTTTCGTCGTGAATGGTGAGAGTGAAAGAAGGTCGGGAGAACCTCAGATCATTCCCTGGGATGCTCTCCATCAGAACTGGGGCGGAGCTACATAGGTGGAATTAGATGACTAGTGGTGAAATATTTGGTGTCCCGTAAAGGATTTGCCATAATTATATCCAGCAGTAAGTCTGAATTATGCAGCTGCTCCTGAACGAAGTTTATCTGCTTTTAATACGTTATTTAAGATATAAACCTTACCCTTTTTGTAGTCGATGGCTTGGATAGACCTTGCCAGTGCAATAAGTTACACTGACAGATTAGGCAACGTTTTAGAAAAGGCTAAAGACAAATTTTAAATACTGCTTTTGCTAAATTTAACACCGTTTGGACCATAAATCATGGCTTCCAAACTATGAGGAAAATATCCTTCATCTTTACATGATAAGTGAGCTTTTTGGAAATTGAAGAAGCGTTAACGATAAATGATGAAATATTTTTAAGTATGCTCGAATAACTGCACATGCATGGATGCTTGTATGTGTATAGCATCTGTGCAGTATGGAGGTACTTAGAAGGAGAAGCTTCTCTGGACCCAAAAATTGATATTCTGACAACAGAGGATTTTCACTTTCGAAAACACCAAGAAATACTTAAAAATTCAGTACAATTCTGATACATTTGTAAAAGGTTGAAAATTCGGATGAAAAAAATAAAATTCAATTTGGAACATATGTGTAATTGTTTGGATTATAATCCATTTATAACAATATTTGCCGCTTACATCAAAGGGGCTATTAGTCTCGGAATGGGATTTTACGTCGATTTAATATAAACGATGCATCACTTTTCAAATTGTTGCCGCTAAATATCATCGCCCTGTATTATTCTTAAAAATATTAAATAACAAAGAATCTGTATAAACGTATCTACGTTCCACACACTGTGAAAAATCGTCGGTATCTACAGCTATTAAAATTGCGAAAAACATAGTTCTGCTCTTGAACATGTGCACCAGAGCCTCGAATTCCTAACTGGTTTTACTATTTATTTCATATTTTGTAAAACATTAATAGGGAAATTTTTACTAAAGAACTCAACGATTTGAAAGCGAGTAGTGGCAACACTGTTCAAAATAAAACATTTAATCTCTACCGCGCGAGACTGTTGCCATTCGGCATAATGTAAGATATTAATTTTTCAATATTAATTAACAAACTCCGGTTTACTCTGGTTTATGTGTTGCCGCGTCCCGCCAGTAAAATACTTTTCCATCCCCAGTGGGGAATACTTTTCCATAATCTTCCATCGCCAGTGGGTTGCCATTCAGTAAACTCCAAGATTCTTTCAAATTTAAACTGGAAGGTTACTGAATAGAGAAGCGATTTAAAAACAGCTTTTTAGAATATTTTTTGTCTACTTTTCAATGGGAATGATTTAAATAAACATGTATTAAAATCATGAGATGGTTAATTAAAAATGTTGAATATTTTTATGCAGTTACACTAGTTGAATTCATTAAAATCATTGTATACCCTTTTTTTTTTTGTAATAACTAATCCAAGCATCTGACGCGTGAGAGAGTAGTTTTTAAAGAAATAATATGGCGAATATAAAGATATGTATGGCAATCTTTAACGCTCGAGAGGGAATTCAGAAGATGTGCTGTTTTTAAATATTTTGTGATTTTGCTGTGACGTGAGTGGGAAGACCGTGGTATTTAGTAAGTACAGGGTCTGCACTTAAGAAGCCTAAAATTAGATCAGAACTCTAAAAGACAAATGGTGAATTATCGCTATGTCTTGCAAATACCACAGAGACAGGGAAAGAGTGTAGAGAATCCTTTATTTAATTTAAATAGAGTTTAACAATCGGTACCAATTCGAGCGTATAGAAGCCAATAGTTTTGCCGGAAAGGAACTAAACTTCACGCTTAAACTAGTTTGCAAGCTGGCTCTGACCGAAGTCGGCGTAAACAAGCCTAATGGCAAGAGTAACTCAACGACGCAGAATAATAATGAGCAACGTGGACCTCAAGCAGGTAGGACACGCTCTGATTTTACCCTCCAAAACCTTCCTTTAAATACTCCCCCTCATTTGAATAACGTACGAGCTAGAAATTTACATTCGGGCAGGGAAATAGAAACGAGATCGGTAGAAAAGGATATTAGCATAACTGGTTAGAAACTTGAATGATGCTTCACAACACATAAAACATTAATAATAGAAAGAAAAAAAAAAAAAAAAAAAAAAAATTGAAGCAACTTACTAAAAAAGCTGAATACTGATATGATAAACTGAGAAAAGACTGAAAAAAATATTAAAATATATGCCAACACCGAGATTTCTAAAGATATGCTACCATGCAGCTTTTAAAAATGTTGTGATTTTGTTGTTGAACTGTATGTGGCGAAAGTGCGAAGAAAACTGTGCTTAATAATAACGGGGGGAAAATAGCGCAGATGCAAGAGCAGATAGACTACAAGCTCAGCGAGAGCGTAAAAAACCTTAACAAACCCTAGTGAGCAACCGTGAAAAATCTGAAAATTTTCAGGTATTTTTAATATTAAATACATTTTCGGTCTCTTTTTATGATGATTAAAATTGAACTTCATTTCCAGTGAAGTACAATTTTAATCATCAAAATCCACGCCCTTTTAATGACCTTGATGTCAGACACTCAAAATTTAAAAAACAATGCATGCTTAAAATAATGAATGCTTCTTAGTATATTTATTTCTTGATAGCTTAAAAAGTGTGCATGCTTTTTATTTTGTAAGCTTTTTGATAGTATTAAAAAACTTATATAAAAATGTTCACATAATTACATTATGCGTACATTTTAATAATATTAAAAACAATGTGATTTTCTTATTATGTATGTTTCTTGATAATATATATTAAAAGCAATTTATGTTCTTTAATTGCTGTTTTGATGCAAATGTTATAGATATTTATATCATGAAAGGTTAAAATACAGTGTATTCATTTTCATTTTTCTCCCTGCGACAGGTAACGCACAAAGATAACCCTAATGTCGTGCATTTCAAACAAGATACATCCATGTCAGAGGTACGTGAAGTTAAGATTCAAATATTGTGCACAGATCAACTACAATTGCTACCCCATTCTGTTAGCAGTGCTAACTTAGTGATTGCTTAGAACTGTTAAAAAAATGCGGAGTTTTGATTTCTTTAGATTGTGAAGAAGTATTTTATATTTACAGAATTTATTTTTTGCAGTTTAGCATAGATTTGCTACAATATATGGATAATATTGTGTTATTTATTTCTCTTGTTTTAAATTCTCATTCTTCATTCTGTGTGATATGAAGGTTAATAGAAGCTAACTGACCACTTGTTCGAATCTGAATCACAGGACAAAGCTGTGAAAATAGTAGCTGTGGGGAATACAGTTATTTAAAATCTATGGATCTAAAAATCTTCTCGAGAGATAAGTGATAGAGGGGGGGGGAATCCATTCCTTGCATTATCCTCTGGATTAACACAAGGATGAAGCTTACAAAATATTTTTCGTGGGCTTGATCTTCATTGAAAAATCTGTTTCCACTTCTCTACTACAGAAAGTAACAAATGCTAAATTTCTCTTCTACAGAAAGTAACAAATGTTAAATTCATAAAGACATTCAACGTTAAAATTTGCAGAAGTAAAATAATTGAGAACATTTAAATAATTGAGAATTGAAAGCTGGAAAGATTTTTCGCTGTTAATTGTATGCTGGAATATTGTTTTTAATTTGGAAATTTTGAATTTTCTCGGAATTTAATTTAAATTATTATACCATTTTGATATAATGATGATGCAAAGGATTTTATATATATGTGTGTGTGTAAGCAAAATAAAAATATGTTAATATAAATTATAATTTAAATTAGCTATAGGCTTTTAATGCTTAGTTTAAATTTGTGTTATTTTCCCCTCTCTGTTCTAAAAATAGTAAATCCATGTCATATCACTCTTAGATAATGCTGGCGGTGTAAATTGAAGTAAAACAGCCAATAATAATTTTACAGTTTATTAATCAGTTTTATTAATTTTCCAATAAAATGCATTGAAAACCGAAACTCATTCTGAAATAAGATTTCATCTAGTCCCTTGCTTTCTGTACCTCGGCCAAGCAGGACTGCTGCTTGCTGCTCTTTTCTTATTGTAAAGCTATGAAAAATGTAAACGTTTTGAAACAGGCACGAGTAGTGTGTCATGCGATCGCAACGTGTTTTTAAAATGAAGATGAATATTTAATGTGCCTTTGCTGCCAAGTTGTTCTTCATTATGGATCAACATTCTACGCCACCAATATTTCCGCAGTATCATTACAGCTAAGTTTGCTTCACTATATTTATATAAATAAATAAAAAAATTTAGGTTTTTTTCACAAAGAGGAAAAAAAAAAAAAAAAAAAAAAAAAAAAAAAAAGGGGACAGAGAAATTCAAGTAATTAAATTTTAAAAAATCCTATAAATGTTGAATTAGAATTCTGTAAACGTTAAAAAAAATTAAAATGACCATCGCAAGAAAAACCAAAAACAAATGAATTAAAAATTAACATAAAAAAAACTGCAATCCAGTCTGTTCTGACATAACGTCTTCAGGAGAAGGATACGTCGAAATTAATTACAATTCCTCTTTCTGTAGAAAGTTCTTGCTTTCCTGTATCCAGAATTAACTGATGAATCATTCCAATAATTTTTTTAATCTTAATAGTTCACCTGTAAACTCTGATCCTCCCCAAGCAAGAAAAATGCAAAGTAAAATCATTAATGAAAAAAAATTTCAAATTCAGAATAAACTTTCCAAAAATTGGAAACTTAGTAAAAATCAAAACTTCCAATGAACCAAACTTAACGAGAACCTCCTTTCAAATATCAGTTCGAAACAATGAAAGTAACCATTGGAATCTGAGAAGCTTAGGGTTGCCAATTTGGCCTCTTTGTCGAAACCAAAAACCGTAATATATATATATATATATATATATAATCAAAATTATAATTTAGATTAGCTGTTTTATATAATCGACCCACCAGCAGCGGAGCGGTACAGTAGCTAAACACTGGTAGTTCCGACCTGGGCTTGATTCCAGGCGAACGGGCCAGCCGAAGATCAGCAAATTTTCCTTAGAAATTCCTCCACGAAAGCATCTCTTCCCTTAAACAGATAGCCCTCGCGTGCTTTGCCATATTGAAATTAACCAAACCAAACTTGACACCATAAATTAGGTTTTTAACGTTCGTGTGAGCCCCTGCTTCTCTAATAAATCGGATAAGTGAATGCGAGAATTTCTCTGCGATATAAATTACATGTGAATGAGAATGGGAGAAATAAAAAGTAGAGAATAAATCCAAATTTAAATTTATATCTACGTTTTGAGACTTGGCAAGAACATTAAACGAAGGTGGATCAATAATTTTATTACTTTATTTTACATCGCTTTTTGCTTTAACTAAAACGCAATAATAATTCGCGACACAATCAGTGCTAAACAACGAATACTCAATTTTTTCCGCAAGTAAGGCGAAATTCATCCATGCTTTCAGGTTGGTTGCGTTAGGAAAGTAGGGAGAAAGAGAATCCCTTTGATCCTTGATCAGGTGACTGCGTCCACGGCACGCCTTTTCTAATATAAGTTTTCATCACATTTTCTAAAACTGTTTTAAAGGAATTTCTATCATAACTAGTTTAGTATACGAAACCAAGCGAAAAGCGAGATCCTTCGAAAATCTGTTTTTTAAAAAGATCAAATGCGAGCAATTCATGTGATTATTTTGTTATGAAATATGCGAAAGGAATGGAACCGAAGGTTGAATTCGGAATAGTGGTTTAAAGCTAGTTTTGGGGTTCGGTCCGTGATGGGAATGAAATTGTCAAGGCTGAGATGAGAGAAGGTTTAATCGGGGCATAATTTAACCCCTTAGGTGCCGACGTCGAGAAAAAAGTTCTTCCTATGTGTGACCTTGAAAAGCTGAATGTCATTGCGTGAACGAGCGTGTTTTACAATTACGCTTTACTAAAATAATCTGTATAAAACTGCTTTTTATCGGAATACTTGGAATCCATCGTATGTTGTTTAAGTTGTAATTCTTATAACAGAAAATCCTGATACTAACAATTAAAATGAAAATTTAATGTAAGTTAATGTGCAGTATTAGGATATACATATTTAAATTACTTCTTGCAACAACGGAATAAAAACTGAAAAATTTGGAGATCAGTACCTATTATATCCTGTTGCCACATTTACATATACAATTTGAGCCCCTCGCACTACTTGGAAGTTTCTAAGCACGCGCAGTAAGCATTTCGCGTTTTAGTATTGTAGAACTAAATTAAAAAAAAGTGATAACAAGGCTAACACTCAAGAGATTCCATTCACTAAGGTTTCGCAGCATTGTAATATAATTTACGCGCATTTAAAATTTGAAGTAAAACATTGCGTTCCAGAGTATCAAATACGATACGGTAGACGTGCAGTGACACTTCCCTCCCATATCGCATTTGGTACTGTGGATCTGCGGAGGGAAAGTGAAGCGTATCCTGTATGATACGAAGAGGTATTAAAAGCTGATACGAAGAGGTATTAAAAGCTACTGAGATTTGTTTCTTTTGACAAGGAAAAAATACTTGGCGAGTCGTAGCCTGTTTCTCCTCCTTTACGCTAATGTTGCGCCCTTGACCCGTTTATAGGATGTCGAGGCGAATGGAAAGATCAATTATACTTCTATTCGGATTGACTGTTTAATAATTGCGAGCACACGTTGCCCTGCAAATGAAAGAAAGAAAAATACACATTCCTTCTGTATCTGCCTAACGAATCACATTAATCCATTGAAATGGCTATAAATCCTCTATCTCCGAACTTATACGAATGAAAAAAATAAAAACAAAAAAAGAAAGTAAAAGGAAAACATGAACGGTAGGAGGATATAAAGAATGACTTCGCGAAAGAAAGAAACAGGGGTTTCGACGGGCCAGAATAAATAAATACAAAAGAAGTAATAAAAAGAAAGGAACATAATCAAAATCCCCCGATATTCTCTCGCACTCAATCTTGTTCCATTGCATCTGTCAAACCCTCCCCCTGGCAACCATCAATATCCGAAACGTCAGCCGTACGAATTCGAACACCTGCAGGCCTCGCAGATCGCCGTTAAATAATTTAATTAAAAAAAAAAGGCTAGTTAACCGTGTTGGTTTTTTCAATTTCAAAATGGGTCCGGCCGTTGCCTATTTTCCCCTGCAGTTTGTCGTTGAGTTAAATGATCTACAATTACATTTACAGACCCCCTCGCCTCAAGAATCACGGGCATGTATGCGTATGAGTATTCTATAGGGTGGGTGGGAACGAATAAGTATCACCGAGACCTCTTGCCCCCCAGTGATCGTTTTCCTTCAAAAAGATAACTGTTTTTTCCTTAAGTACTTATTAATCACATGTCAACGACTGTGGCTGAATGGCAAGAGAATAGATGAGATGCTGTCCTGCTTTCCTTATTCTTGAGGGACCTTCACAGAATGACTTGCTTTTCGATGACTGGGCATGAGCAAATTCTGGTCGGTTTGTGGGGGTTCGGTTATGAATAAAATGCCGTTTTACGTACATGCGTAGGGAGCTCTACATAATATCATCGGTACTCTTATGTAGATACGCAACTATTCACTTGTTCAGAAATTTTTACAAGGGGTTTCTTCTACAGATAGGTTACCACCTTAATGAAAACCAGTTTTCAGCTTAAAAAATACAATGTTCATAAAGATGCTAGCACCGTTATATTGCTTCAGTAATTGAAATAGTAAATTAGAACTGTTAAAGGATGCTAACAAATTAAAAATTGATCTTCATGGAAGTATTGCAAATTTTATGACAGCAAACCGTGTAAAGGTTTCCGAACGGAAAAGCAGTGTGCAATTGCACAAAGGCGCCAGCATTCTTATGAAGACGTCACATTATGTGGTGCCTCATGCATACATTTCGTTATGTTTCTTGCTGTAGTTATAACGCAAAAAGGAATCTTCGACGAAAAATTAAACACTGGGTCTTAAAGTTATGTATTATACATACGGCACTTAGATGAGTCTTGGTACAGTTATTGTTTTAGATCCTGAAGGCTGTTTATAGAATTAACTTGAGAGTTATGTCTAGTGTAACTTGTACACATCTTGCATGATCACACGGATAAAAAGTTCCATTTAGTTGAATGTCCGATATCAAATTTTATGGTTGGTTTCATGATACGTTTTCAAAGATAATATCGCTTTATTATCAGTTTGTAGTGCTATGCTGTACTTACATTACACACACGTTGTGGCAGTACACACAATCATCGTCGCTACATAAAGAAGGATCTCCTTAGTCAAATGATTTGTTATCATGTCTTGAGGAGTGTTGGTTAACTTCTGGCACAGTTACCAAGTCAGTATCGGTTTAGAATTAACTTGACAAAAATCGGCAATGCTGTAAGATTTATTAGACAAGTTTGAAACTATTATATCTTTTTAAAGGTATTAAATCTGAGTCTGCAAAGTTACGCATCGGCTTGTTCTATTCTGGTTCGATTCGATATGGCAATGGCAACCAAATTTTCAGCAGATGAAGGAACGCTGTCGTACGCAATCATCAGGCGACCGTGCATAATCCACGCAGATGTCTCGCACGGGATTAGGGCTGGAACGTTCTCTTGATTTAGTCTGGTTTTTTCCTTCAACAATCCGATTCTTTATATCTTTTGTTTTAACAGCCGCTGTCACTATTAGGAGGTCTTAATTCCTGTTCTTTGACTGCTGTACTATTTACGACCACCGAGTTCCGCGGAAGCGAAGCGTTTCGAAGTCGGGGACGTGTCAGCATACGAGGAAAAGAAGCGGAGAGAGAAACCACCCACTTCGTCATAAACAAATGTTTAATACTTTCCGACGCGGTCTCTTGAGCAGCGCTTACAAGATCTCATCCTGCGCCTCCCGGATGCGGACCGATTTTTATTGACTCTTTTTTGCTCACACACCTGATTGCCCCCACGATGTCGAGCAGTTTGAGTATGTCTTCCCACCATTGTCTGTGATTTATCAGTTTCCAGAGTCTCATGGAGAAGACCGCCGCCCGAGGAACACTGTCATTACGTGCCAGACGGAATGCCATGCTGATGACAAGGAACTTACTTCATTTCACTCTGTGCTCAAAGAGGCCGAACTTGGTTTGGAAGGAGCGCGACGAATTTTCACAGCCTCGCAGTGAGAACTGAATTGTGATCGAAGACCATTTCTAGCAGGAAAGTCATAATCCTAGAAAAAGGATGTCACAACCTATTTATGTTTTTCCGTTTTTGTCATTTATGATGGTTGTCGCTATGGTCAGAAATTTGTTTTAAATTTTTCAGATGATCTATCAAGCTCAAATTCTGCACACATACACGTTTTGGATGGTAATGCAATGTGATGAAACAATGTTTTCAAAATTCGATTTAGATTATGTTGGAATGATTTTTCTCACATATTTTCATTCCACGAACAAACTAAAAGTCTCGGAATTTTACTGTTTGCGCCATCGGATAGATTTAAATGAAGTTTACATAAAATTTTTAACTTAATTTCTGACTTTTTTGGCAAATTTCAGACAATTGCTCGAATTTGTCCACTATTTAATGTCCGTTATTTTTAAAGCTTCGAATCAGAGATTATAAAATAGATTCTTTGCCCTCTTTTGAAACAAAAATGATAAAAAAGCCTTATTTGAGTGATTTCTACTTTAAACAAAAATATGCTGGCGTGTCAAACAAGAGGATTTCAACATTCGTTCTTCCTTATGCACAGCTTGAAAATATAGTTTCAAGGTTATATGTCATAGTATTTTTTTCTTCTGTATAGATTTCTTTAATATTAATTTTTAATTACCCCTGATAAAAAGAAATACATGCTTTAAAATTTAGCTTACTGTAGAACACTTCTGCCACTTTATACAATTAATTATTATTAATCTCAAAAACAACAGCATTTAAAATTGCACGTGATTAGCATTTAAAATTATTTACAAAGAAATCTACCGTGTCGTTTCTATTTTAATTTTTCCATTTTATGTGTACCTTTTTCTCAGCGTTTCATTTTAAAAGCTGCCTTTCTTAATTTTTTTGAGATACGTAGTTATGTTATCTTATAGGACTTTAAAACATCCAAAAAATGTGCCTTATAGACAGATTTGAAAATTTTAAAGGTTCTAAAACCGTTTACTTCCTTTTAAAACAAGAATGATAAAAACAAATTTTTTAAAGTTATATAAGGTATTTCTCACGCAAGCTTAGCATGTCTTCGTGATGTTATGGTCAGCATGCTCGGCGCGAGAGGTCCAAGGTTCGAGTCTCTGCGACGGCATTGCATATTTTTCTTGTCTCGTGCTTCCAAAAAGTACCTAATGTATCTCTACAGTGGCGCCCGAACTAAAAAAGGTGATGGATGATGATTCGTCACCACAAGGATTTAACGATTGGGTCCCTTAATCTCCAGTCGCCTTTTAAAAAGAGGGGGGAGCGATATAAGGTTTTGATCTGGCGTGCTTAGCATGCCTTCGTGGTGTAATGGTCAGCATGCGCGGCGCTTATGGAGAGGTCGGAGGTTCGAGTCCCTGCGAGGGCATTGAAGATATTTCATGTCTCCTGCTTGTAAAAAATACCTAATGCTTCTAGAAAGTTTTTTTTTTTTTTTGTAAGATTTCTTTAACTTGTTCTTGATGGTCAAATTTTAGCCTTCGATTGTAAAACTATGTCTTGTTTTGGACATATATTCATTGTGGATGGAGACTGATGTTTTTGTCAAAATTCGATTTAGATTTTCTTAATCTTTTTTGCATATAATATATTTGTTTAATGAACGAATGGAAACTCTCAAAATTTTATTGTTTCTGTCGTGGGATAGTGGAGAAGGGAAAAAAATCTTTCAAACGAAGTTCATATGAACTTATATACATTTTAATGCGATTAGAGAAGGGCATATTTTCAGAAATCTACCGAATTTTGAATTTTTTGACGTAACAGTATTGTTGGAAGTGCGTTTTTTGGTTGTTTTTTATTTAAAACTTATAAATCAATTATTGTTCTAAAAAGATAAAAATATCCAATTTGTTTAGTTTAAGGGGAATAGGAGATTATATAATTCTTTTCAAAAAGTTAATTTATAATAACGAAATATGTTAACTGAATTGCATTGTCAAAAGTATAAGCCATCATTTCTTAAACTTGTCAGCCACCCCTGTTTTAATTTATTCATGATATAAAATTGCAGATGTATTTTGTGAAGAAAGTTATTTAATTTCTTGTTCGCATGAAACAACATTATAAAAAATTTTCCTTAGTTTTAAGTAAAAGCTTATTTTATTAAAATATAATATATATATATATATATATATATATATTGTATGAACTTAAATCCATTTAGTACGAATACAAGTTATTATTACTTGCGCAATTGCTGCAAAGTTAGTTAATAATAATTTATTTCCTAAACAGTATTGATTAATTGATTATTAATATAGTCATTATTTTGAAAGTTGTCATAGTTTTAAATTAAATAGTAATACTTCTAAGAGATGGTGTTCTCATTTATTAATAAAAGGGTTTTTTACCTCGAAGCAACTCGGAGGGGTTTAATTGTTGAATTCTTTACTTTCGCAAATGGAAATCAGAAATCGTTGCCTTAAGTCTGTCATATCCCACAAGTTGTCTTACTGAGCAGCGTAACCAAACAGATCATTACAAATATGATTTTACCTGTATTTTTGAGAAACAGTTTAAAAACAGTGTCATTTTTTAGTCCAAAGGGGCTTCGTCCCTGAAAAATAACTATTGTTTTCGTTTTGCGATTTTGCGTCGAATCACTCTGAATGTCCGTTTCACGTTTCAAACTGTTTTCAAACTTTATCGCCCTGTATTATATTTGAAGAAATTAAATAATGAAGAATCTGCATAAATGTATGTATATTTTTCGCGTTGTGATAAAACAACGGTACCTAGAGCCATCCAATTTTGAATAACGTAATCCTACTGCGAATATGGGCATCTGGAAGCCCAAATTTGAAACTTGGAAATTGTTTTATTTAGCGATTTCATATTTTGTAAAACTTTAATGAAATTTTGACTAACAAACTCAAGGATTTAATAACGAGCAATGGCAGTGTTGTACAGAAAAAAACATTTTTACCTCCAGCGGTGTGAGACTGTGTATCGGAATTTCTAAAGATATGCTCAATTTAAAATTATTTTGCGATATTGGTCTTGAACTGAATTTTATAATTTAAGTACGAAGAACATGATATTTAATAAATAAAAAGTAACGCACAAAATGTTAAAAAAAAGTCCCTTTGGATGTAATTTAAAATCTGAAACTTTTCAGATTTTTTTTGTAACATAAATTGTCTTTTCTTATTCATTTTTCTATTTGGCAACTCTGGTTACAAAGCATATTTACAAGAAATTTAACTGGCTTATCCACGAGGTAAAATTATGATATATATGATATTTATATACGTATATTTAGAATTCCATGGGATATTTATGTATTTTCTATTTATATGTTTCCAATACTAAAAAGTGATCATTTTGTCATTTCAGTTATACGAGCTCAGCGACGATCCTAGACGGAAAGAATTTTTAGACGACCTATTTAATTACATGCAAAAAAGGGGTAAGTTTTCTATGATTCTTTTTTTATTTCCCTTGTCCCAATTCTACGATATAATTTTCTCAAAGTATTTGATATAGAGAGAGTAATTTTTACTGTACCCAACGTACTTGACATACAATTTTTACTGTGCATAGCCCTCCATTTCGTTAGTAATGCTTGGCCTATCTTTGCAAGTGGTTTAAATTGGTTGATTTGCGCGTTATGCTGTAAAACGTTTTAAGTAAATTATTAACATTTTATAGATTTCAAAGAAAGATGACAATTAGTAGAAGGCCTACCTACTAATTTTCGTGATAGGTCTAAATAGTAATATAATCTAAATACTAATTTTCGTGATAGGTCTAATAAAAGTTTCAGTTTCTTGGATTACGATAGCCGTTTGGTTTAACTTTTTTAAAATGCATTTAAGATGCTGCCAAATATACATCTAAATAGAATACCATTGATCATGGTGTAGAAAAAGCATTTTTGTGCTTAACTTTATTCACAGTTGTAAAATACATTTTGAAACAAATATTTCTGTAAATTTTGTAAGATTTCGTGATAGTAATAACACAGTCATCCTAACAGATTTTCAGTAATATAAGATCAGTAACAATATAACAAACTGAAATTGCACTGCAGCAAGTTTTTAATTATTTTTTGCGGAATTTGTTAAAATATTTTTAATTATTTATCAATAAAATGATAATAATGTAATAAAAGTTTCAAGTTTCATTGAAGGAAATCTACTGAATTTTCGTATGACCAAAATTTCCTGTATTTACATATAAAGAATCATAAAATAAAAGGATGTAGCACTTTTGGAATAAAAGGGCGTACGCAGGATATTTTGGAATTGAACTGAAAATATTTCGTTTGAAACTTTGTCTAGTGTATTTCTTCAGAGAGTTGGTTTTTACATAAATCAACCAATCAAATATCCCGAAAGTAAAATCTCTAGGAAACGTTTCTTTCGACGCGCTGTTGAGAGTAGTTTGAAGTTGTGAGGGTAGTTAAAAACTGCTGCTGATATAGCAAAAATTCAGTGAGACGGAAACATTGACAACATTTCTCTCTTCGGAACAGATAAGAGAACGCAATCTCTATTTCTGATTTTTTATCTTCAAATACCGCCTGAAGATCCTCGCAAGATCCAGTGAAAGTTAATTGCAATTTCATTCCACATAGCATTCGAAGTAAAATAGATGCGAAACAAGTTCATAGAATCATGCTCAAGAGTCTTATTAATAATAATATCATTTAATTACCTTTATAGAGTAAAAATGAATTTTTATAAATCATGAGCTTCTTCTAGCAAAAGAAAGTCCCTGAGCAATTCCCTAATTCGCAAGTAGTGGAGTTAACTAAAGATTTCAAGAACCTAAAGCTAATTGTTCTTGATGTAATATATTCTTATTGTTTGATTTTACTGAAGTTTTGTATTTTACGTAATGAAATTTATTTTCAAATATTTCATCAGTATTGAAGTAAAGAGTAATAACCCTTCTCCCTCTTAAGTCCATTGTCTCTTAAGTCCTCCATTGCATTTCAATAAATACGAACTCTGTGTACCGATAAAAAAAGAAAAAAATTTAAAAAAAAAAACTATCTTGTTATCGAGATTGTGGGATTTTTTTGGGTGAACCGTGTACTGGTAGTAAACCCGTTTAAGCAGTTTTCTCGCTTAAAAAGTTTATTTGGCAAAGCTTTTGCACAGTCGGCGCTTGTTATGTAAAGAGCGCCCATTATAGTGACCGTTCCATTACAACGACTGGTGCAATCTCCAACTGAAGAGAAGAATTTTTCATTTTTTCCGTAAGTAGACTTTTTCCTCAATTAAAAAAAGTACTAAGTGCACTTATTTTCTCAGTTTGAATTCATCATTCTTGATTTAAAAGTTTATGGCTTTTCTTCCTTTTTTGTCAAAGTCTCTCGACTAACCACATTTTACTTGGTATCACCATAATGGTTAGGAAGATCCCTAGGCGAAAGAACCATTTAAGGTGCCAAGAAATATAGTTATGTTTCGATCCATTTTTCTTTCGTTTTCCTTCTACGGTATATGTAACAGGGTAAAGAGAATTGCTTAAAATAAAATAAAAAAAAAAAAAAAAAATAGATTAATCCATCTTTACTATCTCTTTTAAAATAGAAGTGCTCATTTTTTTTATGTATGAGATATATTTTTGAAAATTAATTAGCACATATTTTTTAATTAATGAAAGCTTTGACAAAAACAATTAAATATCTGTAAAAATTACAAGTAATTTTGCTGATAAAATTTAGTAAACTAAATTCAAATAATATTTAGCTAAAATTAAAAGAATTAAGATATTTATTTTATCGATAATAAAAATTTAATGTAAATTATTTAAATTCACTCCAAAAATAAAAATAAGTAGACTGAATTTTAAAGCAATTAATACAGTAATAATGTTGTTAGTAAACTGTTTTATAAATAATTTTCGTTTTGAAAAAAAGTAGTTTATATTTTCTCGTTTAAGTATTTTTTTTTTCTTCTTCCTCCTTCTCTTTACTTTTCTCTCTCCTGATATATTTGCATTTCTGTTATACATGGACTAAAAATGCAATTCGGTATATCATGTGCATTTTTATCATGCCATTATATGCGTGCTAACGTTGAAGCGATTCACGTTATAACAAAGTTAAGAGTGAACATTAGTGGCAACAATTTTGTTCTAACCATCACCCTTGTTTCCTGTACGTGTGCTTTCGGCTTTAATAACAAGACAGTTAAAAACAGATTATAGATCATGACGCATGGAGGTCCCAAAGGAGCGATGAGGGTCGATCATCCTCAACACAGGTTGCACAACACTGACGCACAAAAAGTAGCGTCTTACTTAACTTACTACGTCTCAACAAACAAATACACACCTCATCACTTTTTGCTCTTTCATTTCTCGAGTACTGTATGAGAGGTCGCTTTGTTAGTCCTTCGTTATAAGGTTCTCAGTTAATCGTACATTATACTTAGCTTAGTAGGCAAGTTTATCACCGTATCCTGCTACTGTGCATTTCTGGACACATCAAATTAGAGGGGAATCTGCTACTTGAAGGTTCTGTCTAAAACTTGCAGGAAAATGCAGTAATTTAAGTGCCAAGGTTTTCCTGCGCCCTACGAATCGAATCGGTTTCTGAACCGGTTCCGGAATGTACACAACTCAAACATTGCACCACCTTTTGAGTGACGAACATGCGTGTGAGGAGAAGGCAAAGAAACAAACACGTGGGATTTCACTGACACCAATGTTCTCGGAACAAGCGTAACTTATCGCTTTGATTCCTAAACTTCTGGTAGTTTCTCTTTAAACTCTTTCATTTCTTACTTAAGAAGTACCTCAACAATGCACGTCTCTAGAGGTTTGCCCAGCGATCATACCTCATCACTTTTGCTCTTTAATTTCTCGGAGTAACTGTATTAGAGGTCGCTTTGTAGTCTTCGGTTATAAGGTTCTCAGTTAATCGTAAATTATACTTAGCTTAGGCAAGTTATCACCGTAGCTGCTAACTGTGCATTTCTGGACAACATCAAATTAGAGGGGAATCTTGCAACTTGAAGGTTCTGTCTAAAACTTGCAGGAAAATCAGTAATTTAAGTGCCAAACTATTTATTCAACGCTATTTGCGGTAAGGTTTATCCTACAAACACGTTTGTTCGGCCTCTTATACGGTTCAAAATTACGAAATCTGAAACACGTACATTCTACACACTAATTAAACGCTTAAAACCTCTTATAAAATTTTATGTCTGTATATTTTAGGATAACATGATTTATTTGAACGTTTACGAACATTAAGTTACGTGGTGTGAATAACAATACACCTATTTATTTATACAAAAAAATAATAAATACAAATAAAAAATAAAAAAATAAGTTTCTTAAATCCTCTATCAATCTTATTTAATTCAAGCGGGCCCGTCATTTACCAGCATTAATCTTGTGTTCAGTGGAGATTCCATCGCTTGGAAGGAGGCTCAGATTTGCGGAATTTGTAGTCCGAATAATATCGTCTGTGTTTTTAACACCCCCTTCTATAAATTGGCAAGAGAGTAGTACTTTTTTGAACCTTTAAAGATGAAGTTCCGTCCTTCGCCGGGAATCAACCACGGGCCGCTTAACCCTGCCCCCAATTCCACAATACATGAAATAAGGTGGGAAATACCTTATATACTCCCTTTTAAAAAGCGACTTTTTTTTTTTAATAAGGGGGGAATCCATCGCCAATCCTGGTGAGGAGAACCCATCCAACACCGGACGTAATATTTAATAATAATTAACAGACAAAATTTAAAAAAAAAAAAAAAACGCCCCTTTGGATGTAATTTAAAATCTGAAGCCTTTCAGATTTTTTATTTAAATTATTAAAATATATAATTTCAAATAATTTCTATAATTTGTTTTTAGTTAGAGCAATTGTTAACTGTTAATTCCAATGTAATTGTGAGATCAGCAAACCCAATTCCTGTTTCCACGCTTATATGTATGTTTCAATCTGAAAGACCTGCCGTCATAAAATAGGGATTTTAAACTCTTCTGAGTTTTATTATATTCAATTTCTCTAAGACTTTGTTTCAAAAAGTTCTTAAAGTAATCGTTATAGTATAGTGCGATAAATAATGAAATGAGGGGGAAGTATTATAACCCCCCTCCTTTACGTTTGTTTTCATGAGGGGGCGAAAAACGATGGGACATGATGAGATTTTGGGACATCACGGTTAAAATCATTCAAATGCTGCAAAATTAGAGTTTTATGATGGAGAAGAAAATTTAATTACTCTTAAAACAATAGGGTACGCAGAAAAAGAAAAGTCGGAGCCACGAATAATAGTAAAGTATAACAATTGTATTAAAAGGTGGGTTTTTCATGAGCGCCATTACAAACATCGACCCAAAAGAGCAAGTTTTTGAGAGAGGGAAATGGATGGGGGGAAAAAAGAGAGAAAACTCGCTTCGGAATGATGAATTCGTCCCAGGACAGAGGATATAAATTTG